GAGAGAGAGAGAGAGAGAGAGAGTAGAGAGAGAGAAGAGAGAGAGAGAGAGAGAGTACGAGAGAGAGAGAGAAAAGAGAGAGGGGAGACCGGGCCGTGTACTCTCCCCACCCCCACCACGATCATCGATGGCAAACATTCTTTAGTATACAGTCTATAATGTATATGGGGGGGGGGAGTTAACATGGGGGGATGTTCTGTCATCCGCAACCGTGACTGGTCATGTAATACTGCTACAGAAGTAGCGTACATGGGTCGGCCTGAGCACATCGCGGAAATGCTGCGTGAATGCGAGCACGACTCTGCATCTCGCGGGCGACGTGCTCAACGCCGCGTCCGGGCTGAGCCCTATTGATTCCCTCAATCTATTTCGCATCGGAGACGCAGAAGGCATGAAGGTTCGATATGATATGGACTACTTAGGCACTTTATTTAATTTGATTTTTTTTTTTTACGTTAGCGCGTAGGGTATTTTTTTTAGAGTGCCTAGTAGTCATATCCTAAGTCCTGTAGTCATATCATATCGAGCACACTATCTGCCGGGTGCATCGGAGAACGATTACAGGCCCTTATTGCGGCGGCGGCCGTGATATGCTGGTGTGAGCGCAGAGAGGCAGGGGAGTGGCTGGTTCTCGCGCGCAGGCTACCAGCAGGCGATTCCTCGTTTGTGGTGTCAGATGACGCTCGATGCATCGAGCGCGCCTCCACTCAGACAATGATGCGATATGCAATAATATATATATCATTGGTCATTAGATGATGGGCAATGGTCTTACATCTATCGTTTCCATTCTTACTTTCTGGTTAGGAGGTGGCGATCAGGCCTGCCGTGTCTGTCTCATAGTCTTGTCTCCTGTCGACCTTGATGACAACGACTGCTAATTGCATTAACGCGCATGCTGCTAATTACGACAAGGCAGTGCCTACTACTAGTGCGTCTTGTTTTCTGAATTGGTTTCTGGATATATATACCAGGGTTCGTAGCGGGTCTTCCAAAGTATTATAAGTACTTATTTTGCCAAAAATTGAATAAGGGCCCTTATTAGTACTTATTTTTGGTGAAATCTTAGAAAAGTACTTAATAGACTATAGTCCTTATTTTTCGACTTACTGTTCTCGACTTAGAGTAAGAATTGTTGTATATATAATACGGAATAATTAAATCTGCTGTGCAATTGTGTATATAAATATTATTAGTGTACTTTAATAGTCGGTGATCTATCAGAAATCGCGTAAAAAATATTATTTTGGCATCCAGAAAGGGTCTTATAAGTCCTTATTTCAACATGTGTCTTACTACTATGAACCCTGTATATACCACACTTCCATGCAGCTACATTACAATGCTAGTACATGCTCATCGTTTATGTGAACAGTATATATGTTCTTGGTAACTGTGTGTGTTTTACATTCATGTTAGCAGTTGCACATACTTCGTGGTGGGAGAAAGGATCTTGGGTGGTGGCCAAAATGATAAAATAATTACAATTGATAGTGAATCATAAGCCAAATAATCCAGTGCTGTGTTTTCTCATTTCTCAGTAACTGGACCCAGGATGTGTCGCAGCTAATGAGTCAATAGATAGGCGTGCAGATTACGTACAGATAGCTGTATGTTAGAGTCGCGTATAATTGAAGAAACTGTAAGTTCTAGGAGACAGAAAACCAATTCTAGCTGGACACGATTTTACCGTGTCGCCATGGTTGTGGAAACAAGAAATCATAGGAGGTGCACTTTCTCATTTTGCTGCATGGAGTCTCTCTTTTCGCGGGTAGGGAATCCGCTGAGATCCCCTGATCAAAAGTTAATTTCCACCCTTAATCGATATGCCATAACGCATTTGTACGGCCTGTCTGTATCGGCGAGTACAAAGTGCATTTCTCTTTTCATTTTTTCCATTCGCTGTCACGCGCAGCGAGAGACTTTGATGAGAAGCGATCCGAAGTGATGCTGAGAAACGTAAGTGTAGAAGATGAGGAAGATGCTGTGTGTAACCGATGGCTTCTTGACAGATGTGAAGCCATGCTGCGGTTGCCGAACTTGTGGTTTTCGAAGTCTGCAATTTCGCCCCGCACTCACCATACTCAAATAACTTGTGTGTTGTTGCACATACGTGTAACTGTGTCTCTAAATTCCATTGTAAAAAAATTTCATCGAATGCAATTTTTTTTTTTAAATGCTCTTGTTTAACTCACAAGACAAAACTCAAAACTGTAGACTTCTGTAGATGTTCTGTCGTCTGGCGGTAGACAACGCTTTTGAACTGCAACGGTACCAGTGTCCTTCACTTATACTCACTTGCCCTTCGGTTGCACATTAGCACTGTCATTCACTTACTGCGGTAGCAGCGGCTGCACGTAAGCTCATGCAAACATCGGCGCCTAATCGGTTGTAGAGATATCGCAAATGTCAAGCAGGCGCAGGGCGACTGAATCGAATGTCGGTATTCTCTCTTGCAGGATGTTGTTTGGAGACGACAGTTTGGAACGGAAAAAATCCTCGAAGAATTCAAAGTGCCCGAGGTAGGTTCTGGGTTTTGTTTTCCTAGGTCTTCATCTACCTCTGCACTCTCCCCTCTCACTCTCTTTTTCTGTCGCTTTTGTTCTGGGGGTGTAGGCGGGGGTGCGGCGTGAACGGAGGCAGGGGGCATAGGCAGGTTTGGGTGATAGTGGAGGCAGTTGTTGTGGTGTAGGCGGGCTGGGGACGTAAGTGGACGCATGTGGCGTGGGCTGATTGGGGCAAGAGCGGAGACAGGGGTTGTGGTGTAGGCGGGGGTGGAGCCGTGATCGTGGGCATGGGGTGGGGTGTGGGCCGGGAGAGTGTTACTGGTGAGGTGGGGAGTGCCTGTATCACCCGTGTGGCGTGTACATGTATAAAGGTGTGTACAGTTTCATCTTTAAAAGCACGAGCGCGAAGGTGAGCTCTTATTATCAAACTTTTACTATGTGTGTTAAGCCTTTTTTAGTGCTAGGATGAACTCCACCCGATGTGTGAAGCTCCATGTGGTAGTAGGATGTATCAAACTCCATCTGGTGGTAGGATGTGTCAAACTCCACCTGGTGGTAGGATGTGTCAAACTCCACCTGGCGGTAGGATGTGTGCAGCCATGAATAGTGCTAGAAGGGTGCAGCACTGCGCTATAGTTGCTTCATTTTTGCTGTATTTTAATATTGGTTGAATTCAAGAGAATACTGGCTTAATCAAATGCAATTTTCTTAGCCAGGCCAGTATTAGGAAAGTAATATGTGTACAGTAAAAGTCCAATAAACCGGCGTATAAATAATAATTTGAATAAGCGAAATTCCAGGCAAGCGGAGCCTCAAAATAGTGCAGAATTAATGAAATTTATTCTTATTATGGCTGTAGATTGTGACTCATCGCACGCCTGTCAGGTTGATCCGCCAGCAAAATCCTTCTGCTTCCAAATAGCGAGTTTGCACAAACGATATTGCTTCTGGCCTTCATACGTTATTGCTGGTGGGTTTTCTTCACTTCAGAAATCGTGTGCACGCGTGTGCGTGTGCGTGCATGCGTGCGATCCTCGAATATCGAAATTCTTTTGAACAAACTCGAATATCCTTCGAACCCAGCCAATTCGGGCTGTTTTGATTTCTACTGTACGTGGTCTGCAATATAGAAGACCTTTCTCGATCGGCAGCCTCAGCCATATTGCCCGACGGATTTCTGCTAAATTCGCATGACCTGTACGAATCCGGACCGTTTCGATATATGCATCCATGCAAGATGATGTAGGTAAATAATAATTGCTTATCTCCATGGGTGATCCGGCACCTGAACCCCGCTGATGGATGAGGGTGAGGCCATCGGTTACGCAAGCCGCTTGTTCGCGATCGTTCATTCACGTCATCGCTCATGCCCACGAACAGTGTCACGCTCTTCATAGTCTCTCTGGCTGACTCTTCTGCGCAGTTTGTTCAAGCGACAGCCTCTGACCCGTGTTGTCAAACCGTCGGTTTGCTGGCGTGACACTTGGGAAGAAAACAGACCTAAATCCTGGCACTAGCCCTAACCCTAACCCTAACCCTAACCCTAACACTACCCCTAGCCCCTAATATAACCCTAACGCTAAACCCTAACCCTAACAGTAACCCTAATCCAAATTCTAACCCTATTACCCTAACCCTAACCCAAACCCAAATACAAATCCTAACCCAAATCCTAACTCTAATCCTAACCATAAGTCTAAGCCTAAGCCTGGCCCTATTCCTAACCCTAACCCTAACCATAATTCTAACCCTGCCCCACGTCGTGGAGAAGGGGTCACTCACGCATCACCCACCTAGCATGCACCGCGTGTGACTTGCAGCGATCCGTACTGCACGGGGCTTCAGTGAGGCGACGCGAGCACCGGCCGCTCTGCGTGTCATCCAGGCGAGAACGCGAAACTGATATAAATCTAAATGGAAATTTATCGCCGTTTTTCGCTGACGAGAGCATCTCAGAGGATGGAGATATCTTTTAGCATTCGAGACAGCGCCTTCTCTGGACTCACATGTCTCGCTTTCGAGACAACGTCCCTTCTGAGCTTTCATATCTTGCTTTCGAGACAGTGTCTTCTCTGAGCTTTCATATCTTGCTTTCGAGACAGTGTCTTCTCTGAGCTTTCATATCTT